CAATTTCAGTCCTGCAATTACGGCCTCATATTCGGCCTCATTGTTAGTCATTTCAGGGCACCGTATGGGTTGGTGAATCACTTCGCCCATTGGAACTTCGAGTACGAGTCCCAGCCCAGATCCTGACGCATTGGATGCGCCATCGGTGTAGAGGACCCAAAGGTCGGGTTGCCCAGGAGAAGTGCGAAGCACTTCTTGTTCGACCTCCGACAGTATTTCCGCACTGATGTCGGCGAGTACTTGTGATTTTATCGCAGTTCACGGTTGATATGTTATATCTTGTTCACTCAATTCTATGGCCTACTTGGCCAATCTACCCGACAGCTCGGGTCTATACAGGATGCTCCTAAGGGGAAAAGTTGTCACCACTTTTATGGGGTGACACTGAAAATATGGTCTAAGCTTTCATGAAGCTACGACCAATGACAGAGCCAATTTTTTGAGGTGGGGATACCTCGTTTCGGTGTCAACTAAAGTTTTGCTGATATAGTAAATCGGAGATTGCGTACCTTTGCTCTCACGGACCAAAATCGCGCTTACTGCGACTATGGAGACGGGAAGATAGACAAGGAGGCATTCGCCCGTTCTGCCTTGGCGAGTAGCGGTGGTGAGGACAAGTAGATTTTCAGTTTTCTTAGGGCATCAACACACTCTGAATTCCACTGGAGCCTGTTGTCTTTCTTCAGCACATTGAAAAACTTATGACACCTATCTGACGATCGTGAGATGAATCTTGACAGGGCGGCTATCCGACCTGTCAGTTTTTGTACCTATTTTTTGCTAGTTAACATTTCTAGTATTCCTTTGATGGCCTTAATCTGATCTAGGTTGACCTCGATGCCTCTTTGCGACACCGAGAAATCGAGGAACTTGCCCGAGGTTACGCCGAAAGTGCATTTTTTGGGGTTTAGTTTCATGCCGTACTGCCTTAATATGTCGAAGGCTTCTTTCAGATGATTGATATGATCTTCTTTCCTCTTAGACTTAACCAGCATGTCATCGATCTAGACTTCCATTATTTTGCCAAGTTGGTCTTTGAACATCTTGGTGACTAATCCCTGATACGTCGCTCCTGCATTTTTTTGTCCGAACGGCATGGCCTTATAACAGTACGTTCCTTGGTGAGTGATAAAAGTAGTTTTCTCCTGGTCTTCTTCCTCCATGAGGATCTGGTTGTAACCCGAGTAGGCATCAAAGAAGCTTAGCAGCTCGTGTCCTGCTGTTGCGTCGATGAGCTGGTCGATGTGTGGCAATGGAAAGGAGTCTTTTGGGCAGGCCTTGTTTAGATCTATGAAATCTACACACATCCTCCACTTTCCGTTTTTCTTCTTTACCATGACCACATTGGCGATCCACTAGGGATATTTTGATCTCGGATGGAGCCGTTTGCGAGCAACTTGTCGACTTCTTCGCTGATAGCTTCGTTGATTACAGCGTTGAACTTCCTCCTTATTTGGCGCACTGGCGGGTAGAGGGGGTCAACATTCAGTTTGTGCGTGGCGATGTCCTTCGGGATACCTAGCATATTTGTATGGGAGAAGGCAAACAAATCGGTATTGTCAGTTAAGAATTTATGAAACTTACCTGGTTCCGGGAGGTTGTGCCTGATATAAGCCTTTTTCGTGTTGTCGTTGCCGTCTAGTAGGGTGGGATCGAGATCCTCTATTGTCGACTCGGATGCTTCTACGATGTCGAGATCCTTGATAACGTCTGCTCGTTCGGGAAGATTGATTCCCAACATCGCTGATTGCTAGGCTTCCGCACTTGCCCCTTTTAGCTGTTGGGTGTGGGTGCAATCTTCGGCGATGCGATAGCATTCCTGTGCTGTGCGTTGTTCGCCCTGGATGCTGAATACTCCCCATGGAGTAGGAAACTCGATTACTTGATAGAGACGGGACGGGACTGCTCGCATGGCGTGTATCCACGGGCGCCCTATGATGGAGTTGTAGGCTGTGTCTTGGTCCATAACGTGAAACGTCGTTTCCAGGGTGACTCCTCCGGCTAGGACGGGTAGCACTATCTCTCCAGAAGTCCGCTCGACTGCATTATTAAAACCTGTTAGTGTTATATAATGCGGTATTATTTTATCTTTGAGTCTCATCTATACGAGGACTCGAGGATGGATAATACACGCGCCGCTCCTGTTGTCTACCTTTATTCTTTTTACATCAGTATCTGCAATACGTAAAGTGATAACAAGAGCATCGTAATGAGGGAAAGACAAACCGTCGGTATCTGACTTATCGAAGACGATACTATCTTCGAGGTCATCGTACCGTTCGTGAGTAATCGACCGTTTGAGTTTATGTGTGGTGGTGAACTTCACATGATTGATTGTTGTGTTGTCACCCCCGCCGATGATCATCTATATGGTGCGAGCGGGAGAAGGCGATTTTGGAGGTCCCTGGGGTTGTTCACGTCCATGGGCAAAGTTAGCCCGTCCTCGACCGCTCAGCAATTCCTTCAGGTGTCCCTGATTCAGCATTCTCACTACCTCCTGCCGTAGTCCTATGCAATCTTCGATTTTGTGACCCATTTCCTGGTGGAATTCGCAGAGGGCGTTCGATTTCCGAGTGCTTGGGTTGTACTTCATCTTTTGCGGCCATTGTAACTTGGTACCGAGTTTCTCCAGTGTGTACACTATTTTTGAGGGAGAGACACAAAAATTATGAGCAGATAGGAGCGGAGGCATACCTTTTTCGTGTCGATGTGGCACTGCATGTCGAGAAGGAGCATCTGTGTGCCGTGGAGGAGGTGGGATAGATGTCCTGATGTAGGGCTGATGCCTTTCTCGGCCGAGACGACGTCCCGACTGATATCTTCGACCGTCCTTGCGACGATCTCTCTCAAATGTTGGATCGGACCATTGAGCTCATCCTCATCGGCTCTTACTTCAGCGCAGTATGTGTTGTGGATTTCTTCCCAAGTTGGTTGGAGGGTATTTCATGAGCCTGCTTAATAATTTTCTGGTCGCTCTCGACCCGTTCCTGTTTAGTCCGTTCTGGAAGGCTGCTACAGCCATTCCCTCTGGCACATTTTGCAAGCTCATTCTTACCCTGTTGAACTGAGCTAAGAAGTCCCTGAGTCCCTCGCCGTGCATCTGCCTACCGACAAATATGTCGTTTACTCTGGCTTCTGCCTTTTTGGCCCCTGCATGGGCGGTGACAAACTTGTCTGCCATTTCTTCAAACGTTGCTATCGATCGCGCCGGTAGTTGGGAGTACCAGGTCAGGGCTCCCCCTGTTAGGGTTTTGCCAAACTTTTTTAATAGCACCGATGATACCTGTTCTTTCGAAAGATCGTTACCTTTTACGGTTGTAACGTAGTGGATGATATGATATTCTGGATCGGTAGTACCGTCGTATATCTTTATGTAAGGTGGCATTTTGAAGGTCTTTGAAATGGCATAGGGGCCCGCTTCTTCATTGTGTGGTTGCTCGATGAATCGACCGACATCCTGTTTTGGCAACAACTTTGGGGCACTCGGTATTTTGTCAACCCTCTCTTGGTGCTCCTTCATCTGGTCACGGAGCGCCCTGTTCTCATTTTCCATCTCTTCCGTTTTCTTTAAAATGGCTGCGAGCGTGTCATTACCTTTGTCATCAGCAATATGACTGTTACCTGTACGGGGATACCTTGCTCATCAGCGATCGTCGCGATATCTACATGTGCAATATTTCTGTTATCCCTTTGGGCGGGTTTATCAAGTATGTTGTTCAGAGTGCTTGTTGGCCATTCTTCCAGCAGTCTTCTCACTGCCGGCGGTGCCTCTCCTGTTATAGATGTGGATGCTTCCTTCTCGCGTGAAGCAGTTACGCTTTCGTGCGGGGGAGGTGAAGCGTCTCCCCTGGGTGTGGTGTTTGGGGTCCCGTTTTCGTTATTTTTCTTGCTGTCTTCATTGATGGTGTCTAGGAGGTTTGTTGTGACACCTACTATTGCTTTTTGCCTTGCATCTTCTTTCCCTGCCATTGTTAATTTGTGCAAATCTAGGAAGAGGTGACTATCCCTTTTTAAGATCTAGATGAAACTAAGATCTTGGATGAAGAAATCTCCACAGATGGCGCCAAATTGTTTGACCAAAAGATATTGAAACCCTTTTGGTTAGATCAATCAATGAAGACGAAGAGGTAAATCTCAGCCAAGTATAATAAAATCTAGATTAAATGATGTAAGAGAAAGACAAGATGATCGATGCTTCCTTGTATGTCGAAACAAATGATTATTCATAAATATAATAACCTCAAATGTGGAAAAATATTATAATGAATGCAATTGACCAAGATAAGATGATGTAAGGATTTCAGATTTGTATTCAATAAGCAAAGTTGTCTTTTTTGTATTCAGTTTTTCCACCACCCTTTTACAGAGTGTTTTCCCTCTTATTTATAAGCGGCAATCCCCTTTCAAACCCTAAAAAGGTACAACACAAAGAATATTCGAAAAATATATTCCTACATTCTCCTACTACGCTAACACTACTGCAGACGTCGTGCGTTCGCTTTAACCACTGTTGGTCATCACCCTTTATAACAACCAAAGGACGCTATACCGTAAAGACCTCGTTCCTCGCCGCACTCAGCAATGGTCGTGGTCGTCCAAATTTGGACCTATACAATTACGACAAATGGTTGAGTGATAATTTGTATAAGCAAATGGATAGTAATGAGTTGCTATAACCCAACACGATTATTATTATTTTTTCGGATACTAGCGATTATTATTTTCTTGCTATACCCAACATGATTATTATTATATACTGCTAGTTCTTGACAATTTTTTGGGGGAGGGAGGCGTGAGAAAGAGGGGGTAAAAAATAGGTTTTGAGATAACAATACAATACGATACAATGGATAACAATCATCCAAACAAGCTACTATATAAGTATATACACACATGCAGAATAAGATCACATATTGCGCATTTACCATTTTGAATTTTTGAAATTGGATTTATGCTTTATACTTAAGTGAATAGGAAATTTGTAGATGGAAGGCTGAAAATTATTCAGAAATCAAGTAAATTCGTCTTCTTGCACTTGAAAGAATACAACTATTGTATATATATCTGCAACATCCTGGGTTTAATTTTAAAATAGATGGTGCCTTCACTTGCAAGTGTTGCCACCATCTTGACCCAAATCATATAGGAGTATCAAAAAAGAAACTATTAATTAAAACAAATTGGGGGAACATCACTAAAATATTAAAAGTAATTTCTGTATGTTGTGAATTTTGTTCTAAGGTGCTGTCAAGTGTTAACAGATAGGTAGATCAAGTGGAGGCTCCTCCAATGCTTCCAATTCAGTAACTCCATTTTCGACGAGGAAAGCCATGGCCAAACCCCAAGTAATATGCACATCCAAGTGACAATGCATTATCCAAACTCCTGTTTAACCAAAATTGTTAAGTCCAACAATTTATGACATGTTATACAAAAAAGATTCAACATTTTCTATCTTCTCACCTGGATTATCAGCGACGAATCTAATAACAGACCATCCATTAACTGGTACACTTGCAGTATTACGAAGAGGGGGATCAACAAGGTTGAATTTAGCTGTATCAGTTTGTGGATTGAAATTCCCAAATCCTTCAGCAAGAATGTAAAAATCATAACCGTGAAGATGAATTGGGTGATTTTCAGCTGTGAATATACTAGTCCCCTGTAACACAATCTGCACTCTCGCACCATATTTTAACTTGTATAATTTAGTTGCTGAAATAGGTTGCCAGAGTGACCTGCTCACGTTCCCTGTGTAATCGAATTTAACTGGTGGGACTGCTGGAAAATCAGTTGAGAAAACTCCAGGTATCCCCTGCTGATGTGCTTGAAGTAGGGAGAAATTGGATGGTAGCACAAATGACACGTTGTTCATACTAGCAGTGAATCGCGTTCCATTTGGACCTTGACAGCTGCTGGAGCTTGCTCCTGCAGGGCAATTATTGAGTCCTAATCCAACTGTGAAGAACAGATTTTCGTCGATTTTAGTTGGGACTTCGACTTTTCTTGCGCTCCTGAAACTGGATGTGAAGGTAGTGGCGGTAGCAGTGTCGTTAAATGCGGGCAGAGATGGGAGAACGGGATTGATTATGACACCTTTGGCAGGGCAAGGAGCAGCTTTGTATTCTAGTATGGCTGTGGTGGTGGTATTGTCAAAGGGTGCACCTTGAGCACTTGCATAGGCACGCGCAGCCATGTAATATCGGGCCGGTGGTTGGTTTGCTGTGATGAGGACATCAGTAGTTTGGCCTGGTCCAAGCATAATGACTGATGTGGTGAAAGGTTTAACATAAGATGCATCTGCTCCAACAACAGTGAACTTGTGGTTGGCTACTTTGAAGAAAAGTTGTTGGTTGAGTCCAGCGTTGATGACTCGAAGGAGGTTCGTCTCACCTGAGTCCACATGGACTATAGTAGTATCTGCATAAGAATTTAAGTTATATATACTGACAGTCTAAAAATTATCAGTCTTTATATTTTTTATGTGTACACTCACCTTGACTAGAACACTTGTAAAGATCACCTGGTTGACCATTGATTGTGTAAGCATCAGATACATTAGGCGCTGCGCCCGTTCGCGTGGCTTGTCGAATAACGTCAATGGGGTTTGCATCCCACCACTCACCTAATCACCATTGCCCAAATCATTATTATTTCAAGAAAGCTTCTAAAATAACCATAAAATTCACAAAATAGTAGTACCAAGAAGAATGGGTGTTTCTCTTTTGGGCTTAGGAAAAGGGTAGGAAGTTCCTTGTTTAGGGTGAATAACTAAGGCTCCATAAACAGTGGCTCTGAGCCATGAGCTGTGGGCGTGCCACCAAAGTGTGCCTTCTTGTCCTTGAATTGTAAACCTATAAGTGTAACTCCCTCCTGGTCTTATTGGACATTGAGTAATAAACTCTGGTCCATCGGCCCATGCTGTTCTCATTTGCCTCACCCCATGCCTAATTTTCATATGCAAAAGACAAAATCAATTAAGGAAGATACGAAAAGGGAGGATTTAAGTTATATATATATATATATATATATATATATATATATAGATAATTTATATTACTATATAAGATCTTTCACGTTTTGCATGCATGAAGTAGTTACCAATGAATGGTGACATTATACTGAGCTCTATTCACAACTTTGACAACTAGAGTATCTCCATTGTTCACTTCCAATGTTGGTCCAGGAAATTGTCCATTCACTGTTATGGTGCTGTGCGTATTGCACAGCCTCTTTACTGGCGTTGCTTGAATCTGTTGCAACACAAAAACAGAGGTCAGTCTAGCTCCTATAGTTTAAATTTTTCTAAATGTTAGCAAAATGACAAAAGAGGGGATGGATATATAACATACAACAAAGTCGTGGTTGTGGATTTTAGCTTTTGCTAAAGACACAGCATTTGCAAAAAGAAACAAAATGGTATAGATTAACAAAGAGCGCAAAGGGTTGGCAATGCTCATGTTGAAGGCCTGCATTGTTTTTTCTTCTTTTTCTTTAGTAGGAACACTTTCTAGTGTAAGAGTAGATAGTTTATGTTTGTGAAAAAATAGAGAGTTGAGGCTTTAGTTTTATAGGAGAAGAAGAAGAGAGAGAGGGTGGTTTAAGTTTGGCAGATTAGGTTTTGATTAAGCATGAAGGTCAGATTATGGGGCAAAACTAGATCAACTCTGTAGAAAGAGTTGGGTGCACCAACTTATTAGCCTATCAACCTGCAGAAATTTCTTCAAAAGTCTCTATTTTGAGGTTAATAATGGTATTTTAGATTTCAAGGAAATAGTAGGAGTAATTTTTATGGTTGCTTTACAATAATATTAATGTTCTTTTTTCTTCTTCAAATGGTAGTTACTTGTTATTATATTATAAATATGTGCCGCGTAAATTGCACGGATTAAAGAGACAACTTCTTTCCTAAATTAATAGTGTGATCAAAACTGGTCAAACCAATTAATCTACTACTATAGCGTAAAAAGGACACAATTAAACACCCCCGGGCCTAATCGGCTTAAAGTATGTATATTTTGATATATATCGCCTCACATTTGGCTCATGTCTCAAAGATTTGAGATGTATAATATAATAATTTGTGTTAATTTGTGGTATGTCTATGTGTAGGAATCATTCAGATGCAATTTGGGACGAAATGGCGCGAATTAGAGCGAAATTGGGAAGAAAAAGCAAAAATTAAAATTTGAGGGCCACATCCAACGTGGGGCGCTGGCTGTGGCGCAATTTACAGAATGCTAAATATTTTGGGCGCCAGGGCCAGCGCCCCACGCTGCCTTGGATGCTCGGAACGCAAAGTTGTCCTGTTTCGACTAGGACTCGGTTATTTTAACCCTAAGACACCCCAACTGATATAAAAGCCAACCTAAACCTATTTTGAAGTGGGAAACGTGACTTTGAGAGGAGAACAAAAGAGCCAAACGCTTGGGAGCGCGGATTTGATCAATTCTTCTATTCCTTTTCTAGTACTCATTGATTTTATGTTGTAAAACCTTATTTTTGATGATTGTATGAACATGAGTGGCTAGAAACCCTATTGTCTAGGGTCATGGGTGAAACATGAATGTTGATGTTTGAAGTTTAATTTGACGAAGTTGATTTTATTATATTGGGTTGTTTATTTAATTTTGTTTTTAATTATTTTGCTGAGTAGCTAACAGTAAAATACTATCTACGAATCTAGAGTTGAACTCGAAAGTGGGAACTCTATATTGCATATAGAATTAAATAGAGCAAGTTCTTGAACCTGGGCATCGGGGAACGGATTCGCAATTAGGATAGACATATACCTAATTGCCTTGCTTGGTTGAAATACAGGAATTGTAAATGCATTCTTGTTAATCTTAATTCCATAGACATATAGGCATTAAGTTAACTTGAATAGGCGAGTAAGGACTTGACAGATTCGTATGAGTAATATCAACCCTGTCAATCAACAATTCAGATAAATCAATTAGTCATTTTAAGCCAAGAACGCAACATGATTGTTAGCTAACCCGTGACCCTGGAATATCCTCTCCCACTGATTGTTATTTAAAATTGCTATTTATTTCGGTTGATTTCTAGTTAATTCAGTGCTTGATAATTTAGGTAGTAAATTAGTCACTTCTATATTTTGTGAGAAATCTCTTGAATCGATAATTTAATTGAGTTTGAATCAGTCAAAAGTTATTCATAAGTTTTCGTGGGAACGATACTCTACTTACTACTCTATTACTTGACGACCATGTATACTTGCGTGAATGTGTTTGGTCGCAACAAGTTTTTGGCGCCGTTGCCGGGGACGTAGAAATTAGCTACTTGACTGACTTAAGCTTTTATTAGTTATTTGTTCAAGTTTTAATTTTCAGTTTACCTTGTTTGTGTTAACATAGGCTCTTCTTGAATGCGGAAGAGTAGAAGCGCAAACAATCTCCTTCCTCTTGATCCTGAAATTAAACGAACACTTCACAAAGTGAGGAGGGAAGTCGAAGCTAGAACTAGAATATAAAGAGATTTGGACACCGTAGATCAACCACAGCCAAAAGAGATGGCAGGTAATGAAGTATGTGCGGTGATAGAAGTCGCAAGGCCCAATCTTACTAATATGACTCAGGCTATTGTGAAGCCTGAGATCACAGGGCATTTTGAACTCAAACAGTACATGGTACAGCTGATTCGGTCCACAGGGCAATATGTGGGTCTATCTCATGAAGACCCGCAGAGGCACATTCAGAAGTTCCTGGAAATTACGGACACTTACAATTATCGAACGTTTCCAAGGATTATGTCAGGTTGACACTATTTCTCTTTTACTATTGGGGGAAGCTAAGGAATGGTTGCAAAAGGAGCCCGCAAACTCAATCCACACTTGGGATGATCTAGCAAGAAAATTCTTAATCAAGTTTTTCCCTACTAAGAAAACAAAGTTGTTGAGAAGTCAGATTCTTGGGTTCCAACAGTGGGATGGCGAGACACTTCGTCAAGCTTGGGAAAGATATAAGAAGATACTCAGAGACTGTCCGCATCATTGTCAGATTGATGAGGTATTGGGCCACACTTTTGTTGATGGGCTAGACGAGGCATCAAAGATGAATCTTGATTCAGCTTGTGGGGGGTATTGCATGGCAAAACCGTATAGTGAAATCCAACTCTTGCTAAATAACTTCACTGCTAATGATCATAATTGGCAAGGGGATAGGGATTCACGAAGGGCGATTAAACAGAAAGCAGCCGAGTTGATTGAGCTTGATGACTTCTCAGCCATGGGAGCAGATATAGCAAAATTGGCAAATCAGATGGATAGAATGACAATGCAACAAACACAACAGATGCAACATGTACAACAAATGTTTATTTTCTGCGAACTATGTGGTGACAATCATATGAGTGACATATGCCCCACAATCCTGAAACTATATACTATGTGGGGCAACAGAGCAGAGGTCCAATAAATCAGCATGCACAATATGGGAACATTTACAATCCAAATTGGAAAAATTATCCCAACTTCTCATGGGGTGAAAATCAGCCGAATCAGAATCATTATAGACCCAAGGAAATTTCAATCAACCTCAGAAGCCACCCCAACAAATGGATGAGAGTTCGAATGACTTGCTAAAGAAGTCGTTGCTTGACAATCAACAGCTCAGGACCGATTTAAGAAATATTGAGAGGCAAATGGGGCAGTTAGTAGCAAATCGAAATACTAGACCTACATGCGCTCTCCCTAGTGATACAGAGAAGAACCCTCAAGTTAATGCAGTTACACTCAGAAACGGGAGGGAACTAGAGTAAGTGCCAAATAAGAGAAAAGTCAAGCCTATACCTGAGGGGGATTTGATTCCTAAAGCAACACACGAGTCAAAGAAAAATGATGCAACTTCAGAGCTAGTAGAGGCTGCAAGGCCACCACCAGCTTTCCCCCAGAGATTGCAGAAAAAGAATGATGATCGCATGTTCAGCAAATTTCTCTCTATGCTGAGCCAGGTTCAATTGAATACTCCATTTATGGATGTACTTCGTGAAATTCCAAAGTATGCTAAGTACATAAAAGATATAGTGGCTCACAAGAGGAGATTGACTGAATTCGAGACAGTTGCACTTACTGAGGAGTGCACTTCAAGGGTCCAAAATAAGCTTCCTCAAAAGCTTAAGGATCCTGGAAGCTTCACCATCCCTGTACGAATTGGTAATATTGATGTGGGTCGTGCTCTTTGCGATTTGAGGGCGAGCATAAATCTGATGCCCTTGTCCTTGTTCAAGAAATTGGGTCTGGGAGCTCCAAGACCAACTACTGTGATGTTGCAGCTGGCTGATAGGTCCATAGCACACCCTGAGGGAGTGATTGAAGATGTGTTGCTGCAAATTGGGAAATTCATATTCCCTGCGGACTTCATTATCCTAGATTATAAGGCTGATAAACTGGTTCTAATCATATTGGGACGACCTCTCTTAGCTACTGGTGATGCAATTATTAAAGTGAGAGAGGGAAAAATGATTTTGAGGGTGGATGACGAGGAAGCGGTCTTTAATGTCTACAAAGCAATCCAACTTCCCTACCACTATGAGGAGCTCTCAATGATATCTGTTGTGGAGATGGATGAGAAACTTCTTGACATGAGTGTATATCTAGACGATTCTCTAGAGAAAGCACTTCTGTTGTTCGATAGCTTGGAGATTGATGATGAGGTTGAGGAGATGATGCATATCCTAGATGCATCATGTGCTTACATTGTCACGACCCATTTTTCCCTCCGTTGGGTTTCGTGATGACACCTAGTCTTAGGGACTTGGTGAGCCTAACATTAAAGGAAACAACAACAATATTTAAATAACATCTAACAATTTGAAATAGAAATTTCTTTGAACTTTACAACCCCAAAACCGGCAGTACAAGTCATAAGCTCTACAGAGTTTCGCTACGATTTATAAAACACAACTGGATGGAAATAAGTACAGCAGTGTGAATACAAAAAAATAGGAAGGTGACTCCGAAGCCTGCGAACGCAGCAGCAGGATTACTTTGAGTCTCCTCGGCAAGAATCCGCACAGCTACTAGCGATCAATACCTTGATTTGTACCAAAAAAAATACAGAAGTGTAGTATGAGCACACCACAGTGGTGCCCAGTAAGTATCAAGACTAGCCCCGGTGGAGTAGTGACGAGGAACAGTCAAGACATCCACTTGTCTAATAAAATAGAACAAGCATAAGTATAGAAACCACAGGACATGATATCTATATAAAGACTACACGGTATGGCTAGCAATACAGTAATTGCAATAAGGATGGAAAACAGCAAGTAACAACGGAACACCATAATAAGAACACAGAAAAGTGAACGAAAATACAACCCAAATACGAAATCACAATACAGTAAAGACAAGTCATAACTCAACAACTATGACAGTTTTCACATTAGGCCTTAGCCAACAAACTTCAATCAATTGGTCAAATCCTTCAAGTGTTAAATGAAATATTTCGAAATATACTTCCTCCAAATAATTATTTTTCCAAAAAAAAAAAATTAGTTCTTTCAAAATAGATACCTT